TTCAGCAGATATGTCTAAAAAACAGGATTATAACACACATGTCAGCTCTACAGAAAGGGAAAAGGTGGAAGAGGAACTAAGGCAAGAGGGAGAGAGCAAACCGGCAGTTGTGCTGTCATACAGCAGCCTTCTCCCTTAAGTGGGGAGGTCTCAGGCTTACAGACGCTGACATAAAAGACACACTTGCAACATATTTCAAAACCAAAGAGCGATGGATTTACAAGGCAGGTTGATTTTATGATGACTTTTATTGAAAAGGTACGCTGGGTTTAGGCAGATGCCTTTTAGCGCAGGAAAGTTAACACAGTGCCTAATTCAAGGAGACAGCCTGAGGAAGCACTGCCGACAGGGGAGAGAGCTGCAATGTCTCTATTACTCTCCTCGGCATCATAAAGAGAAGAGAAAAAATGGTATTCGTGTTGGTGGATACAGAAAGGACGGGAGCACAAAAAAATAGAGGAGAGGGGAAAGCAAACCTCAGATGTAGTTTTCTTAAGGAACTAAAATGAAGCAAATCTTTAGAACAAAGGGTAGGGTGGAAAAACACCCTCAGTTCATAAATTCTCGCCAGGTTTGGAGAAAACTGTTCAGTCTACTCACAGCCCAAAAGCTTTAAAACACAATTATTTTCTGATTATATGAGAGAAGATTGCAGTGTTTAGTAGTGCTAGTCTACAAGTTCCAAATCAAGGTTTAGTTCCAACTATTAGTGAGGGTAGCCAGAGCCCAACAAGGCTCTTGGAGAACACGAGAAAGCTGCTCCATAAGCAGAAATTAATGATAGTTGTGAATATCAAATATGGAGCAGTCACACAGGTCAACCGTGTCTTGTCCTAAAACTGAGCCCCAGGATAAATACCCAGTAAACCTGTTAAATTCCAAGAGGAGTGAGCTTTCTAGCTTTGCAATTGCAAGGGAAACACAGCTGTTTGAAATGCTTTATGGTGATTGACGACACCTTTGTCTAGCTCTGAAAAACAGCCTGATGTGGACGAGGGCTGAAAGTTGTGAAAATAAAATCTCATGGAAGTCTGCTGGATGTGATACAATGGAAACGCTAAAAAAATAATACTGAGCTTAGAAAACATAAGGAGGATAGCGAAGAGAGGTGGGATGGATAAGTTTCTTCAGGTCCCCCAAATTCCCTAGGAACCTATACTTTCAATGAAATGACATTCACTCCAGTACCTATATGGCACCCCTCTTCACTTCAGGGTCCCCAGGGAATAAGCTGATATGCCCTGGAGAGAAAGGCAGTGCCGAAGCCAACATGCCTCTGGCTACCTTCGGAAAAACATTTCCTACAGAACCTCAATGCTTACTGACAGAGACAAGTAAATGTTAGCACTCAGCTGTGGAACAGGAAGGAGTTGGCCCTTCCCATTACTAGCAGCAGGAAAAAGGCCACCGACCTGTTGAACACT